TCACGTTAGGAGTTCTGATGCCTGAACATGTATGTCCCTAATAGCCCTACAGAATTTTATAGTCCTTTAGAGATAAATAAGAAGCCTATGATAATCGCAGCTGGAATTTAGCCACCCAAAAAGAGTTAATTCCAGAATTAAAAATCAATGATAATAAAATCAACATTCATCTAAGTATTTTAATTCTTGCAATGATTCCAGGCAACATCAATTTGTCTAATTCTGCATGCTTTATTTATCTACATTGCTTCCATGTCCCATATGCACAAAAATACTTTAGAGTTTGAAAACATCCCAAAGTCTTACAGCTATTTTTAAATAAAAACTGTAGCACAAATGCTTTGTGGGTGATCACAGAGCAATAGATGGCAATTAGCTTTAGAGAGAAAGAACCAAGAAGTCCACACGCAGATGTCCGCCACCGGAGCTCCCAAGGCGATGCCCCGAGAGCTCTTTTATTAACCTTAACAAGCTTACACACATTGTTGAAATAATTCAGATAGGACACTAGTTACCTAATCGCCACTTAGGATTGGCCGGAGAAAGGCTTTGAAAATATGATTAACTCTAAGGCAAAAAGGCAGAATGAGGGAGTCACCCTGGCCCCTGGCAGCTGCTGTCCCTGCCAGGAGAGTTTGCTCTCGCTGAAGACAGATAACAGAGGCAAAAAGGCAGAATGAGGGAGTCACCCTGGCAGCTGATGTCCCTGCCAGGAGAGTTTGCTCTCACTGAAGACAGATAACAGTTAGCGACCTTGAGCAGTGTTCTCCCACATTTCCCTTTTCTTTTAAGCAAAGGCATCTATTCTTTCATATATTTGCGAACTACATATAAATCTTTATGACAAAGGCCAGAAGGCGAAGCTTTGCAACAGGTAGTTATTATGGAAAAGAAGGTTGGTATACATTGAACAAAACAACAGCAAATTACAAGGAGTATGAAAAACATAATTGCATACATCAATACAGTGTGAAGCCATCCAAAGTGGGGTAGCTATGACCATAAATTGTCCCACCAGGAAGGAAGTACGGTATGTCCTGTTGTATGTTATTGGTGAGGTGTCTCAGCTGAGCAAGCTGATTATTCACTGCATGACACTTATCAGATAAATTAAAGCAACAGGGATTATTAAAAGACTCACAACCAATATGATTGCACAACATGAGATAATCCAATGCTGCATGGTTGTCTAAAATAGCATCACGTCGTTGTCGTTGTTCCTGATGCAGCAGGGCAATAGCAGTGGAAGTGCGGTTAATGGCTTTAGCTAAGGTTCACGCAATGTTGGCAAGAGTGCGAGAATTATGAACAGCAAGGCCAGGAACGCCAACAAACGACACAGCCAGTTAATGGCTTTAGCTAAGGTGCACGCAATGTTGGCAAGAGTGCGAGAATTATGAACAGCAAGGCCAGGAACGCCAACAAGCGACACAGCCAGTGAAACATTTATTTATTTATTTATTTGTTGGACTTATTCTGCTTCGGATAACAAAGTAACTTTACCATTACAAGTACTATCAAGAGATAAGCTTTCCCGTCTCAGCTGAGTCGAGGAGTTCTGCAAAGCAAAAGGTTGTGTTAAATTGATTGCTAATCTACTAAGGCAGCATTGTGTTTCTGACAGATTGGCTGGAATGTAGCTAAAAGTATGTTGACCGCATGTAAAAAACCAGTCTGTAGGCAAGATGATATGTGCCACAACCCCGTGTTAGTAAAGGGGCTGGACCCTCCCACTGATGGTCCGAAGGTTGCTTATAAGTCATCAGCGGCAATTCCATAAGGATTTCTTTATGAAAGTGTTTCTCTATTGGCGACAGTTGTGCTGACGTGCAGATACAGTTAGATGATTTAAAGTGAACAATTATATTGACATTACATCTGGAACATCATGGGGCTTGATCCTTCTGTTTTTTGTTTGTTTTTCAAGGAGAAATTTAAAAGAGCAATGTGCTCTTTCCACAATAGCCTGTCCTGTGCAGTTATAAGGAATACCATGGAGAAGTTGAACACCCGATTCATTACAAAAGGTGGTGAAGGTGTGAGAGGTATAGGCAGGGCTATTGTCTGTTTTTAAGGCTTGAGGCCGGCCCATAACTGCAAATGTACATAAACAATGTTGTATGACATGGCAAGAGGTCTCACCACGAAGAGGGGGTAGCCCAAATGTATCCTGAATACATTTTGATAGTTAAATGGACATAAGAAAGAGGAGAAAGGGTAGGAACATGAGTGACATCCATTTGCCAAAGTTGATTGGCATCTGTTCCTCGTGGGTTAACAGCATCAAAAGGAAAAGAAATGAGAGACATGGAACAGGAAGAGCTGGAGCAGACAGTGTCTTGAGCTTGAGAAAGAGGAATAGAAAATTGCTTATGGAGTTGTTTAGCACTCTGGTGAAAAAAGGAATGACTATCAATAGGATTAGAAAAAAAGGGACACAAGGAAGGAAGAGCGGAGTCTGCATGATGATTTCCTTCTGAGATAGCATCTTGGAATCCAGTATGAGATCGAATGTGAGCTGCAAAAAAGGGTTGTGATCTAGCAGCAAGGAGGTTTTTAAAGTCAGAAACAGGGAATGTAAGGAGAAGTGAAGAGCAGGAGAAAGGTAAGCATGTGATAGGTGAGTAAGGAGGTTAAATACATATTGAGTGTCTACACTGAGATTTAAAGGTTGATCTTGAAACATTTGAAAGGAAAGAACGACTACTGCCAGCTCTGTGCATTGGTTGGAGGTTTGAGTACTGTACTAATGAAAAACGTTTTCCAGATTCCTGAAGTGTCTTGAAAGGTCACAACGCCCCTAGTAGGTGCACCATCAGTAAAAGTCAGAGCATTATGAAGAGGAGTGTCAGAAAAAAAGAGAAGAAAAGCAAAAGGGTACTTGCTGAATGAAAGTTAAGCGGGGGTCTTTAGGAGGGTTGAAACGTGTGTTGCCAATATAGTCTGAAAAAGCAATCTGATAGGTTAATGATGAAGACATCAAATTATCATGATCAGCTTTGGAAATGGGTAAGCAACAACAAGAAGATCCCAACCTGTGAGTTGTTTGGTATGATGGTGCCCCTTGATTACAAGGTCTGTAATCGTGTTTAGGGTAGCGTAAACATTTCAAGGAGGGGTGTTGGATAAAGCCATTCTGCTATAGCAATGGCCTTGACAGATTTCGAAGTGCGCAACAATCCAGTAGGCAGCTGGGAAGTGTTTAAAACAACTAGCTGCAAGGGCCCAAAAGAAGGAATGTGGTCTACAATGGTATGTCGCAAAGCTGCATTAATTTGATGTATGGCATGTTTCATGCCTTTTGTGATGGGTATGGGGTCAGCAGGAGACTGATGTCCCCGGAGTGCATTAAACAAAGGTTGTAATTCATGTGTGGAAAGGCACAAAAATGGATGAGCCCAGTTTAAGTGCCTGAGGAACTGTTGCAACTGCACTAATGTAAATTGTGATGGAGTTTTTAGTTCTGGTAAGAATGGGGAAGATATAGTTTGCAGCAATTTTTGACCTAGATATGAAAATGGAGGTGTCGTTTGTACCTTCTCTGAAGTTATGTGAAGGCCTTTTTTTCTCAAAGCAGTTAGCTAGAGAATCATAGACAGTAGTGGAGAGGGATTGCCCTGCCACCAAAATGTCATCCATATAATGATATACAAGCAGTTCAGGGTGTTCTAAACGAAATTGCTGTAGGACTAGATCCACAAAATGTTGACATAGATGAATTCAACATTCCCTGAGGCAAGACTTTGCACTAGTACCTTTGAATAGGATGGGAATTGTTGTACACAAGGATGGTAAAAGCAGGCAAGACTTTGCACTAGTACCTTTGAATAGGATGGGAATTGTTGTACACAAGGATAGTAAAAGCAAAATTTTTCCTATCTTGTGGTGCTAAAGGAATTGTGAAAAAACAGTTCTTGAGATCCACTATGTTGAGGAATAAAATTTGGATTCGGCAAGCCACATTGCAAAGAGCCCATAGGTTGAATGCGCTTGTTAACTTGAGAACCATCAGAACGGAGGATTTACAAGCCGCTGCCGGAGGATTTACAAATGCCTTACAACCAAGGAGGGAGGGAGAGGTGATTTACATTTTCAGGTAGAAATGGCGGACATTTTAAAGCTTTTTAGCTTTGCCTGCCGGACGCAGGATTTTCGCTTAAAAAGCAGGACATGTCCTCCCTTTTCCGGATGTCTGGCAACTCTAGGTGGAATACTCTATGTGTCCTTGATCTAATTGCTCCTGAACTAAGGCCTCCACTGTGTGGAGCTTTTCTTTAGACAATGGCCATTGATCAACCCAGACAGGTGGTCCAGGGAGCCATGTTAATGGCAAGGCTGTGTCATATTGCGTAGAGGCCTGTACTATAAATTTGTCTGCAATTTTATATCAATCTTTTTCAAGAGATCTGAGCGTTCAGCCCGGAGGCAGGCAGTACAGCATGGCCTCTCCCAGTTTGAACAGCCCCTTGTTCAGCAGGCTGAGGCAAAGAGGCGGTCCCAAAACCAGCAAAATCAGGGAGCTGGATGGGGAACAGATTGTATTTGTCTTCAGTGTGGAAGGGATTGTCACTCTCGAATTGGCCTTCTCAGCCACACTAGACACTGTTCCAAGTCCTCCATACAGAGCACCTTCAGTCTCCATAGTCTCTGGAGACTGAAGGATGTTTACAAAAAGCCCAATGTGAAACCTGATCCAACAGTAAACATTCTGGCCTGTATTGACCACCTCTTGTGGCCATGCAAAACCACAAAGTTTATTGGCTCAGGGGAGCCAGGAAACAGCTGCAATACATGCAAAACCACAAAGTTTATTGGCTCAGTGGAACCAGGAAACAGCTGCAATACATTGAGTGTCTTGATAAAATTTATTCAAAGATTAATAGACATATAGAGAAGCAAGCAGAAAAGCTTACAGAAAGAAAAAAGGGGGATGTGACAAAAACAAGAAAGCTGTTGATTATATGTTATGGGGAAGGTTGTGATGTGTTATGATATAACATAACATATCACAACCTTCCCCAATCACCAGGTCAGAAAGGGTCTTCTCCAATGAAGGGACACATTAATCACAGTTTACAGATGCAAAAGACACACTTATTTAAGACTATGGTCCGGATGCGGGGGAAATAGGAAAGGAGTGTGGGTTTTGTGATTATGGTTTATTTATCAATTTTACAGATCAGTTTGCATGCATGCTTCAGCTGTTTTTACTGATTACATCTTATCTTGCAGATGTCCTGCCTGTTAGTAAAACCCACGAGCTACATTCTGAAGAGAAACATGCTCAAGCCAAAACAAAGGGGGGTCTAAAACAAAAGTCCTGAGGAAAAAGATTTATAGCGGTAACCATGAGGGGGAAAAAGGGGGACATTACACCGCCTTTCTTTCCGTTTTGGTCCACGGGCCGGAAAAACGCCCACTCGACGCCTGGAAAAATTACTTTTAAGACAACTCTCAGAATTCCTTGTTTGGCCATCTAAAAAAAAAAAAGATAAAACATTTCGCGAGCTCCGCCCTTGAAATCCGTTCGCTCCAGGGCCGCCTCACAGGGACGCTAACAGCCGCTCGGTTCGCCTGTTTCCGGCGCCTTTTTTTTCCTTTTCTCTCCTTTATTTTTTCGTCTCTTGGCCTGCTAAGCAAACGGTTGGAGAAAAGAGGGCGACGCGGAGGAGGGGTGTTGCCGCCGCTGCCGTCAATCTTGGCTCCTTCCGGCCGACGGTTTCGCGCCTGGCGGGGCCTTGACAGGCCGCGGCGGGCTTTGGCGGGATCCTCCTCTTCTAGGCCTCGCGGGGGGCGGGGACGGGCTTTTCGCGCGCTCTTGGAGGGACCGAGCAGAGGGAGAGCGAAGGGAAGGCGGCGGGCTCGGCTCTCGGGGGCTCTGGGCGACTTCCTCCCCCCCGCCACCGTTTCTCCCGGCCCTTGTTCTTCCTCAGCCGCCATGTCCCATCAGAGCAACCTCCTCAGCTTCTTCCCCAAAACGGCGAAGAAAGGCCGCGAAAACTCCCCCAGCGATGGCGAGGACTACCCTCACGTCTCGAGCGGAGCCCCACGGAGCAAGCGGAGCAGGACCAGAGGGGTGCCCACGGCCACCGATTGGTAAGCCGCTTTCGGCCCCGACGAAGCCCTTGAGGGACGGCCGAGTGGAGCGGGTCGGGGGGTGGCGGTGGAGGGCGGCGGCGGCTTGTTGCCTGGTCGATAAAGCTAGGCCGAAGGGACTCAGTGGTTGTGTGTGTGTGTGTGTGTGTGTGTAGAGGGGGAGGTGTCTCTAGGCCGAGGCCTGAAGGCCGCTTCGTGAGGAACGGTGCGGTGGCGCGGTTGCAGCAGCGGCCTGAGGCGGGAAAGGAAGGGCATTTCCTGAGGCGAAATGGGGAGCGAAGTGATGTGGCGGAGCGGGCAAGGAAGAAGAGAATTGATTTTGCGGTTTTGTGTTTCGTATATATAGACACACGTGTGTGTGTGTGTGTGTTAGAGAGACAATGCATAGGGGGCGCTGTGTTGCGCGGGTATGAGGAGAAGGAGGCCTCTGGGGAGCAGGTGGTCGGTGCGGTCCCACCACTAGGCCTCCCTGGGAGACGTTGCTTCGTTTTCTCTGTCGGTGGCTCTTGGGCCTCGACCCCCGCGACGGTGCGGGGAGGCGAATCCTGTCGAGATAAAAAAGAAGAATCTGGAGGCGGAGCTGAATAAACAGACGGTTCCCGCCAGGTTAATGTGCCCAGGAAGCACAAGCCGGAGCATAGCCCCATTGCTCGCTTTCCAAGGCATTAAGTCCCATTGAATCAGTAGGATTTATATTTTTAGTTGGCTTACATTGGCGAGCTAATCATGCAGGGTTGCTATCTGCATGTTTCCCCCGCCATGTATTATGCGAGGGATTAATGCTCTTTATATTCTGGGGAGAGGGACCAGGAGAGGAGACCCCAGCCAGACTAGTGACAAGGAGACCGTACACCAGATTTTTAGTTCAAACACTATTCATGTAACTTTTATTGCTTTAATTCATTTAAAACAAAAGGCAAAGGTATCAAGAGGCCTCCTTCACCTGCACACCATATGCACACACATAGAGAGACTCTTCCCCGATAGTTGATCAGTCCTTTGGTAAGAGCGATGGGAGCAACCTTGCAGAGCTGTTCGAAGCCCACAGCCACCTCCTGGGTCACCCTTCTTCTAGGCAGCTTTCTTGTGGGCTGTGTCTATGGGCTGAACCTAGGTGGGGATAAGCAGTCAGGGGGCAGACCCTGATTTCCTGGGTAGGTACAGTCTGTTGTTGCCATGCAGGAATGCTTCTTACATGTGTACAGTTTGCTTCTTTTACCACAGACCCGTTTCCAGCCAGCCTGCCCCTTTCTTGTCCGGACAAACAAATCCAAATGTATAACTTCCGCCCATGCATGCAGTTTCTTGCTGATATAAAAACTTTATCTCTTTCTACGCTTTGCAGATTTTATCAAGGCTCACCATTCCATCTTCCCTTGCAAGTCTCCATCTTTTTTTTAGGCCTGGGGTGCTGATCTTTCTGGAACCCACACACTGTCACTCATAACATGCATTCCATTGAGCGTAGTGGGGCTTGTGCTAGGTGTGTGTAGGTTTGCAGAGGTAAAGTAATTGATACGCTCTTTCAGCTGAGTTACCCCATTATCTTAGCACACAGGGGCTCTTCTCCTCAGCTCTGACCCCACACCCATTCTTCCACCCCACTACTACGCTTAATAGATACAACCCCATGATTGGGGTCTAAACTTAATCCCACAGGACTTCAATGGTTACCGACCCAGGTGCTCTTTGACTGCAGTTCCCATAAACCCAGGCCAGCATAAGTGGTTGTGAAAGCTTCTGGGAATTGCAGTCCAGAAACACCTTGCATGGTTGCCACTTTCTGGAAAGTCAGGGAAATGGAAATTAGTCAGTGAAATTGGTCTGAAGTCAGGTAAATTGTGATTAAAATATATTTAAGCAGTAGATTTTTGACCTGCTGCAAGAGCACGATCTTGTGGCAACTGGAATAGAGAAGTAGCAGAAAACAAGTAAAATTAATGATGCGCTTTCCCAGCTCCACCCCCAGCAACCAGCCTAATGTGTTTGTTGAGCTCTGTCCCTGCATTATTTCCAAGGTCTGCCTGTAGCATTTGCAGAGCAAGGGTAGTTTAAACATTTAGCAAGATGCAAACTTTAAACATCTGTTTTCATCCCTACCTGCTAGTACTGCATTTAACTTGCATATAAAGATAAGCATGTTTTGGGGTCATTCTTGTGTATGGAATGGACATTTTTTCTCCTGCTAAACCCAGCACGTGATGTATGGAAGTGAGAGCTGGACCATAAAGAAAGCTGACCGCAGAAAAATTGATGCTTTTGAATTGTGGTGCTGGAGGAGACTCTTGAGAGTCCCCTGGACTGTAAGGAGAACAAACCTATCCATTCTAAAGGAAATCAACCCTGAGTGCTCACTGGAAGGACAGATCCTGAAGCTGAGGCTCCAATACTTTGACCATCTCACGAGAAGGGATGACTCCCTGGAAAAGACCCTGAGATTGGGAAAGTGTGAGGGCAAGAGGAAAAGGGGTCAACAGAGGATGAGATGGTTGAACAATGTCATCGAAGCTACCAGAATGAATTTGACCCAACTATGGGAGGCAGTGGAAGACAGGAGGGCCTGGTGTGCTCTGGTCCATGAGGTCACAAAGAGTCGGACACAATTTGCTTGACTTTTTTTTAAAGTGGCAAGTTCTAATTTATTGCGCATCCATATTTGATAGCGTCTCTTGTCTATATTTTTTTCTGCATTCATGTTCTGCCCTGAAACCTATTGACTTCTGCTCTTGACTTGTTGCCTCCCACTAGACTTGTGTATTTTGTCACTAAGGATGTGCTATTTGGATTTTTTGGACTCCAGCTCTTAGAATTATCTAGGAATTTGCTAGGCAATATTCTGGGGTTTGTAGCCCGAAGAGCTAACACCTTCAGATACCTGTATTTGGCTCACCTGGAGCAGGGCCTCTCTCAGAAGCTCAATGCCCATCTCAGGCCTGTACTTCATGTTGGTAATATATGAAAGGGAAGCTGTCCTGGTGCTCTCTGGGAGTTGTAATCTTGCTGCCCTTTAGGTTTTATAGTGGGCTACTGCTGAAGGGCTATGATGCTCAAAAAGCACCAAAGCATCCATTTTTGTGCATTACCCACAGGAAGTATGGGCCTGAGACAGGTATGGAGCCTTTGAAACAAGCCCTGCTTCAGGAGAATGAAGTATCTGTTTTGAAACTCCCAGAGTTCTCTGGGTTAAACTTCACGGTATAAATTCAAAATCAAATCAGGGCTTTTGAAGAGCATGGATTATGGTGGCGCCTCCTCCTTATCCTCACGGCATGGGGGTTTGGGATCAGAGTTTTCCTTCTCCTAGATGGGCTGCCTTTCCAGGCTAATGAGCCCCACCTACCCGGCCTGCTCCCTTGCCGCATGGATGTGTTAAATAGGCGTAAGCATTAGGCATATCCATCTGTTACAGTGATTAAAATACAGTGGTGCCTCGCTAGATGATGATAATCCATTCCACTGAAATCACTGTTTAACGAAATCATTGTCTAGCGAAAACATTTCTCCATTGGAATGCATTGAAACCTATTTAAGGCGTTCCAAAGGGGAAGAATCGTTGTTTAGCGAAGATCAGCCATAGGAAAGCCGCTTTGCAAACCGCCGATCAGCTGTTTAAATTGCTGTCTTGCGAAGCTTAGGTCCCGAAAACACCTGTTTTGCGAGCACAGAGGGAGCTGTCAAAATCGTCATCTAGCGAAAATCGGTTTGCGAATCAGGGACCAAACATTGTCCAGCGAAATTCCCCCATAGGAATCACTGTTTTGCGAATTGCTATAGCGATTGCAAAAAGTCAATGTCTAGCGAAAAAACTGTCATGCAGGGTAACTGTCTAGCGAGGCACCACTGTAAGTCTATTTCTAAGTAAAATAAAACAACTAGAACCTAAATTAAGTAATTATTTTTGCTCTCTCTACATGTTAGCATCTAGAGGCTGGGCTATTTCTCCCTCTCCTTTACAAGACAAACCTCTCACATTCCACAACATTCACAAACCAACCACAAACATACGTGAACAACCGTTTTCTGCACTTCTCCAGACCTCCCTCTTTCTTATGCCTTTCAGTTGTTAGCCACTTAAGTCCAAGTGGGTATAACACAGTTCACTGCCTACATTTCACATGAGAAGATTCTAAGCCCAGGTGGCTTATCTTTCCCCATTTAAGTGGTATTCTGTTTCGTCTTCCTCTGGGTCTCTTCGGCTGTGGCTTATCTTTCCCCAATTAAGTGGTATTCTGTTTTGTCTTCCTCTGGGCCTCTTCGGCCTTGCCTCATCTTTGTGTCAGGCAAAGCAACTCTGTACAGCAATCTCATGAGAACGTTTCATTGCTTTTAAATTCATCTTATGTAGAACCTAAGACTCCATCTTTGTATGACTACAAGTCCCAGTTTCCTCATAATTCCTCACACGGTAGAACCAGGAACAATGGTCTTTACATTTGGAGGCAAAGTACTTTAAGCTCTATTAACAGGCATTAAACTCATGAAGTCTGCAAGGAAAAAATCTTGAAACAAAGTACACTCACACTTTTGGAAGAGCCCCCAATTCATATAAAGAAATGAATTCCTTAGTGAAAAGTGTGCATCACATGTGTGATGATCGCCCACGTCACTCATGCTATTCATATTCATGAGTTGATTTGCATGAACCTATGAGAGGACTGGAGAGGTGGAGTCAGCAGTTACATGAGGCTTGGCGGGAGAAGGAGGAGTCGGCTGGTTAGTCAGGGAACATAGAGCTGATTAGGAAAATAGGTAGAGAAAGGTGGTAATGATAAAGCAAAAGAAAAGAAGTATGTACTGAGAGAACTGTTTATGATTTGCTTGTGTATAATGTTTATCTGAGAAACTTCTGTTATTATTCAATCTGCTTCACTTCAATAAATAAGTTCTGTTTCTGTTCAAAAGTCAAGTGTTCTGACAATCGTCATTTACATTGTGGATTGAGGTAATCCACTGGTGGCAGCGAGAAGAAAGCCTTTGTGAGGGAAAGACAAGCAGGGGCC